GAGGTCAAGCAGGGAGATAATTTCTGGGCCAAGAGTTAACTTCCAAACAAGGTGACTCATACTAGCCTTTGGGTGTACACGTTATTTTCTGCCTAAAGTAAAAATCTTGGAAAAATTAGCAAACAGCTAAATGAAATAATACGATTACCTCCCATTTTTCGCCTCTCCCCAATCTTCATATTTAATTGAATCAACCGGCGTTCAAGTGTTGTTTTATGAGGCTAAGTGGAATTAAACCAAAACGAAATTGTTTCGTAAAGTTGTTGAAATTTCGAAAGTAGATTACTAATTGCATTAACCGAAATATCCCCCTTCAAACATTACTCGCTATCTGTTGTCATTCAATATTTAAGTCAAACTTTCAGACGTCGATTAATGAGATCGTTAATTATTCACACGGGATCAGCCAGTGTACCGTACCCCAATCGAATTAATGAATGAATTCGTTGTGTAACTTTGATTTATCGCCCGCGCTGAGGGTAAAATGTCTACGCGGACGTGCAGGGAGAACCCCACTCTATGAGTGCACATAAAACAGCTGGTCTCAAATGTCTTTTAATGCTGATGATCCCGTGACAATAGTTGGATATAAAGCAGTAAACATAAGAGATAAGGCATCAGAACTTGTGTCGTATGGGGTAACTGGTAGCGCTGCTTCGTATAAGAGGTCACAAAAAGAGAGGCAAAAACTTAGAAAGCAAAATAAAAATGTGTATATACAATTAAATTTACAGTTACGTTTTAACAACATTGCTTAATGGGTGTTGAAAGAAAGAGTTTTTATAATTATCAAACCGCATACCGTAAGGTATAGGGTGAAGTCTTTACCTCTCAACCTAAACTGTGAAGTGATTCATTGCAATCATAGAAATAAAAACAAGCAATTCATTGCAATCAAAGAAATAAAAACAAATACTGGACTCAATTAGCTCAATGTCTGTATCGCTCTCCATCTCTTAATGATGCCACACTAATTAATCATTACACGTCTCCAAGGCCCTATTGTCTCGAGTGAAATCGATATGAGCCTTTTGTCGGGAGTCCTGTTGACAGGGATTTACTGTTGGGGGGCCCCTTTTTGAAGGCTGTTTTGACTGTGTCGTTTTGCCTGGAGCTCCATTTGTCAGGCCCAAGGTGTCTTGAGGAGTCTTTTAGTCTTTGGCACTCAAACAATTCAAAGCCCGCATTTAGCTTTTCCGTTCCAGCGATTCGCAAACATTTTTGTCCAGATTGTGCATGCAATTTGCTTCTTCTCCGTGAATTAGACTAGTGATCAATCTAATGACCAAAATCAAGCAATTTCTCCTGGTTCGGTTTGAAAAAAGTTTTCCTTATCACTTTTAGTAAAATATAATAATTTATTACTAGATTTTAATAAGTCTTTATAAAGTTAAGTAAATTTTTCACCATTATCTCTAAAGCTAAGCCTGTACTAATGATCTCAAGCCGCGTGATTAATATTAATTAAACTGGTTAGTTCATTTAACCAGAATCCTTAAAAGAAATGTCCTTGAAAATAAATCTTATAAATATTTATACTCAATTTATAACCTGATCACACTAATACTTTCGATCGTTGATTGAATTTGATGACTGATACGTCTCATCAAATTTGCAAAGTGTACTCATCTATAGCGAGCCTTGGACTTTGACCCAGGTTCACGGAAGTAAGTTTAGACGGCCAAGAGAGATAGGAAATGTGAGAGTGTAATTTGATGAAGTGGGCGGCCAGAGAAATGATGCCTTGTCTGGAGATATGAGTTAATTAATTAACAACCAGAGACCAAGCATGAATTAATTAGTCTGGGGTTGATGACAGATTTTCTTACGCCATTAATCAACTGGTTTTTTTTAGTATTGCGCGGTGGTTCGTTGTTTTAACTATTGGGTCTACCCGGACAATCCATTCATCAACGCGTACAAATTTTGTCCGTGTTATCTGCCAATATCTTATTATTTTAACCTAACATTCGGACGCTGAAGATCCATTCATCAACGCGTACAAATTGTGTCCGTGTTATCTGCCAGTATCTTATTATCTTAACCTCATATTTGGACGTTAAAGATCCATTCATCAACCTATACAAATTATGTCTGTAGTATATGTCAGTATCTCATTATTTTAACATCACAGTGTGTGAAGATCCAATCATCAACCTATACAAATTATGTCTGTAGTATATGGCAGTATCTCATTATTGTAACATCACATTTGGAAGCTGAAGATCCATTTATCATTATGTAATCTGGTGCTGTTATCTGTGTCTCTAATTTATGTCCTCTTTGTTATCTGTTTTGATTAAAGGCAATCCAAACGCGATTTTATTTTATTTTAGTTTTTTTTCTCTATTGGTGAAGGGCAGAGTGGAATACGTGGGGCAGTACATGGGGCAGTACATGGGGCAGTACATGGGGCAGTACATGGGACAGTACATGGGGCAGTACATGGGGCAGTACATGGGGCAGTACATGGTGGATTACGTTGGTGGAGTACGGTGGTGGAGTACGGTGGTGGAGTAAGGGTTGCAGCACTGTATAAAGCCCCCCGAAATCACACTCCTTAACTATTGAGGTTGAAACGTTATAGTCTCGTTTTACAAAGTTGACTGTTAGAAAATCCGTGCTATTCCAGCGCACAAAAAAAAAACGACCGAATACCAAACTGTTCAACGGTTTTAAAATTTAGACACGTCTCGCTAGCTTTATTCATAAATCTGTTCACAAATTGTGTTTCAAAAACTGACCATATTAAAAAAAATTTCGTTGTTGTTGTTTTTTTTTTTGTGATTTTTTTTTTGTTTTTTTGTTTTTGTTAAAGAATGTGCAATGCCATTGAATTTAACTACTAAAGCTATATGTTAAAAAATATTATTTTAAAGAAAAGTTGCGATAAAATTGTGTCTCTTTTTCGGTAGGCAGACAGTTTACAGAAACATTGAAAATATGATGACTCTTTGGTATAAATAAAAGCACTACGTTAAAAAATGTGAAAAAAATTTTTTGTGGCAGGGGGGGGGGGGAACTAGCTACAACCATGTGGAATACCCTCAAGCTTATGCGACTGACGCGCCAGTCTGGCGAAATCTCCAGCAAGCTACATTCAATGTTGGGAGGGTGAGGATGGGAGTATTAAACTGGGGAGGGGTGAGGACAATCGCTAGAAAAGTTCTAATTCAGTTGCGGCTGAGTCTGTGATCACATAAGTCCTCACAAGGCGCCTAACAACGGGACTTGGGAATTGAATTTGTGCGGCGGGTCGGGTTTGTCTCAAGTCTTATCTAGTACAAAATATGTTAGGATCTGTTAGTAGCTTGGATCCATCTTCCACATAGTACATACACAACTGTGACTTAATTCGATATTTTAAGGTATAATCATATGAAATTGTAATAAAACAACAACGTTACCGTAATATAATCGATGCTCCATTACATCTTCACTACAACATAATGAAGCTATTAGTATGGGATATATTTAAATATTCTATTTTTTCTGTCTGTTTGAATGTAATATTGTAGCTTGCTTAACACTCAACTTAATTGTGTCAGTGGTTGTTTTCATTTTATAAAATATTGAAATATAAATGTAGTGTTAAAATATTTTATCATATGGGTAATGGACAAACTTAAATAAAAATACAATTTTTCTATCCTGGTTATGAGACATGCTCTTAGCCCAGGTTCGTGTACTTGAAATGTAATTATGAATCAATGACATTCGTGAGACGGTGTTTAGATGACATTCGTGAGAAAATGTTTTGACTTCTATCACATCTGTAGCGAACACAAGTCTATGTTGTCCCTGGGTTGCTTGATGTGTTTAGCGATTTGTGTTGAACGCCCAGTTTCCTGTCCCCATACACTCAAACATCTGTAGCGAACACAAGTCTATGTTGTCCCTGGGTTGCTTGATGTGTTTAGCGCTTTGTGTTGAACGCCCAGTTTCCTGCCCCCATACACTCAAACAAACCAAGCGTAAATGTAAAGATGAGATTCTCCAGATGCGGCCTTAATCAGGTCAGACAAACCCCTGGCTTGTCTCCCACAGAAGACGATTTCAATGTTGGAATAAAATTCTGGTGACGATTGGACTTTGTGGGCTGCTTGTTCGAGACACGAGGAATTGGATCTGGTTTTCGATTAGTTATTCTAATAGATTCTTTACTCTTTTGGTAGTGAAAAGGTACGGGACGATAGCTTCGTTCACAATCTAGTCGGCAATCTATCGTGGTGGTTAATGTAGAACAGAGACTATTTGAGAAGATTTCTTTGAAGAGGTACAATTTCAGTAAGTGAGTGTTTGAACATTACTGTCGCCTTAACAAGAGTTTAGATACCAATTTAATAGGATCAGACAGACACAGGAAATATCAGACAGACTGTCCACTGTTACAGGCTTTAGACTTAACTTTTCTCATTGCAAGTATTAGACAGCCTTTACGTAGAAAGAATTCAGACACGTACTAGGAATAGCGTGTTTCCCTTTTTGAATATAGTAGTGTGTATTTTCTTCAGAACCAGCGAGAGATTTGAGTATTTTACTCGAGCAATAGTTTGTTTTAATTATGCGTGTATTTCCTACATAAGCTGAGGGCAACATGGAACGTTACTCCTAGAAATAGTTTCCTTGTTTGAAACTTGTGTGAATCTTTTGTAGAACCAGCAAGAAAAGCGAAAATTTCCTCTTGGAAATAGTTTACTTGTTTGAAATATTTGTGTGAATGGATTTCGAAAACAGCAAGAAAAATGGAAATTTCCTCCTAGCAATAGTTTTATTTAGTTTGTGTATTTTCCCCAGAACCAGCAAGAAACATGGAACTTCACCTCTATCGATAGTTGTTCGTGTATTTTTGTGTATTTTCCCCAGAACTAGCAAAACATGGAACTTTACCTCTATCAATAGTTGTTCATGTATTTTTGTGTATTTTCCCCAGAACTAGCAAAACATGGAACTTTACCTCTATCAATAGTTGTACATGTATTTTTGTGTATTTTCCCCAGAACCAGCAAGAAACATGGAACTTTCTTCATCATATTGCTTCGCCCTTTTCGTGGCTGCTACATGTTTATCTCTGGTCAACTCCCTACCTGCTCGGACGGATGAAGTTTTACAGGTAAGGTTTTAATTAATCATCTTTTGTTATACAGGTAAGGTTTTAATTAATAGTCTCTAGTTATACAGGTAAGGTTTTAATTAATAATCTCTTGTTATACAGGTAAGGTTTTAATTAATAGTCTCTAGTTATACAGGTAAGGTTTTAATTAATAATCTCTTGTTATACAGGTAAGATTTTAATTAATAATATCTTGTTATACGGGTAAGGTTTAACGTTGCAAGAAAAATAGATAGTTTTAACTTTTAAAGTAAGGCCTAAATTGATCCTTGTTATGTCTGAAATAATAAAGTTTTATTTTTACTGATAGTTTTAGTTGGTTCTTTTCTGATTGATTTTAAATAAAAAAAAACGATATTATTTATACTCACATTAACATCTGTTTACGAAACTTGATATATTTTATAATGAGGTATTGAGTTTCTGATTGATTTCGTCTAGAGAAATATCGCCTAACATTTTTAGTCATTTACTATGAGACCGTAATGTTGAAATATAAGTGGCGTTTTAAACTATGTTTAAGTAATGTGTTTAAAAAAGACTGTACAACGTGTCTTTCAACGTGTACTTGTAACTCTTGAACAGGAAGTTTTCGGCAATAAAATACAAGAGTATTGACAGCAATATGCTGCTGACAATTGCTCAAAGAATGACAACAACACATTACTAACAAAGACACACTTTTAACAACACACTTCAAATATCGACATATTGCTTACTCCCCGACACACATCTAATAACGACACACTGCTAACAACAACATGTTAATAACGACACAATAAACGGCAAACAAAATATTCATTACACCAGCAAACCTACGAAACATCTACACACAAAAATCCCTAAGAAACGATAAAATATGGCATCCGTTGAAATATATTTTTAAAAAAAAAACCTTTTACATTTGGTGCTAAGCTCTAATGCCTTTGATGAAATCATTCTCCAGTCTTCAAGAAAATCAATAGAAAGTCCTCAATTTCTTAACCAGTCGGGGCTTTTAAATAAAGTTTTTCTCAACTTTCATGAGGATGATTGGAGCTTATAAATCTATTCCTATACACCGAGTACTCGGACTTAATTATTTATAAATCAATCGATATCCAAACATTAGATATTATTTATGTTCTTATTTGTAATGGTAATTTTCTAAGCTAATTATTTAGGAAGACACAACTTAAACAGTTACAACGGAATCTTTTTCTGAATGTGCATTTGAATAAAAAAAATGCATTAAATTATAATTAATCTAATAAAAAAAATAGTTCATTAGAGAGTAGATCATGTTCTTTCTTGTTCGGCATAGCTTTCATTTGGTTGTTTTTTGGTGTAGCTATGTTGTTGTGACTTGTTTGATGTAGCTAGAGTTTATGTTGCAGGAAGCAACAGGTCTAGTTATTGTGGCTTGTTTGATGTAGCTAGAGTTTATATTGCAGGAAGCAACAGGTCTAGTTATGGACAAAAGGCCGAAGTACATGGACACACGCAGAGATCTGGACGTCTTTAAAGATCTGGTCCTCATGAGCATCCAAGAGGTAAGTTCAGCGTGTGTGTGTGGGGGGGGGGGGGGGGGGCGGAGATGCCTGGGGGAGGGGGTAAGGGTGTGTGAGCGTGGGTGAGGGGGCGTGAGCGTGCGGAGAGTGGGTGAGGGTGTGGAGAGTGGGACGGGCAACGAACCTACATCCAAAATGTGAGGGCCTATATATATATATATATATATATATATATATATATATATATATATATATATATATATATATATATATATATACAGGGTGGGGTTTCCCTTTGTTGGCCAAAACACCGATCATCCTTTCGCCAACACACCCACTCTTTCTTGGCACCCATATTTCCATTTCCTCAACCATCACAATTACAATTCTTGGCCATCACAATTACAATTCTTGGCCATCACAGTTTGCCTTTCTATGGCCACATTTGCCTCGCACCAGTCCATCTTACCAACTGGTTGATTACACAATTTTAAACATTTAGATTGAACATAGGTTGCAGTTTTATGGTGTATTTATACAAACAGGAATTTAGAATCACGAGTGCTATTTTTTTACAACACCTCTCATGGCGCATAAAGTATTGTGTATTCTTGTATTCCTGTAATCTTGTAACAGGACCAAATCTCATCTTACAATTCTCGTGAAATATCAAGTTTACATGCACACCTCCTTTGTAACGACAGCTAGATTGATTGGGTTATATCTGAGACAAATCTTGTAACAATATCGACGAATTCTCGCCGAGGGAGAGCATGTATTACTGTGCATGTGAAGCTTGCTTATCTAAACGATTGTATGAGGAAATATGCAGCAACCATCGCGTGAAACACATAGTGACAATCACGTTGGTTAAAATATCTAAGTGCCCCTCCAGTCCTAGAACAACTCACCTTTAGTCTACACTACCATTTTTAAATTACCAAAACATTTCATTTTCGCACTTATCATAGATATTTACCAGCTACTTAAATGAGCTTCTTCGAAGATCTATTTTAAAAGTTAGCAGTTAATCGCTTATCTTTAACAGTTTAATACAAAAAATAATAATACAATAATAATATTCAAGAACCTTTTTTTTTTTTACAAAGTTTTTATTTACAATTTGCGTTCTAAAAGTAAATACACTTACAGACATAACGGCCAGTTGGGCAGATAAAGTAGAGTTTATCAGTTTTACCCATGTCGATGGTTTTGGTGGAATATAAGTAGTCACAAAAAAACAGTACGTTCTTATCTCAGTTTCACGAATACTTATAGAGTGAAAAATATAATTGTTTAATAATATATACATAATACAACTATATAATATATAATGTAATTATAACAATATAATGTATAATATAATTTTATATGGTCTATATAATATAAATTTTATGATATATAATAAAATTATATATATATTTACATATATTTATATTGTAATATAAACTTTATAATATATGTATTATAATATACATTTGATAATTTATAATAATATAATTGTATAGGTTATGTAGTGTAATTATTTCTTATGCAGAAATACTTCTACTCTACAGCAGTCGACTAATGTAAATACTGTCAATAAATCATTTCGTGACATAAAACTTGAGCCTATTTCAAACCTCCGCTTAATTCGTATTTTACTATTTACCAGCGTTATACCGCCCCGGAAGTAGTTTGTTGTCACTGGGTACCGAACAAAAGTTGCCGTCCCAGAAAACGTGGATGGGAAATGGAATGTCGAGAAACATGGCTGGGTTTCATGGGATCGGAAAATCATTAGCCAGTAGCAATAAGGAAATGGGTGCTCCGTGTAGCAAAGTACAGTAACGAAGGGGAAAAAAATGGGGTGGGGGGGGTCTTGAAATAAACGTAGACTGTCTCAGTCATCAAAATGTCTTAAGTTTGGATGGGCGAGTCATCGTGGACTGTAAATTAATTCTCGTGGTATTGTGTTCAATGTTTCTCTCGCTGTAAACGACCGCCCCGCCCTACACCGCCCCTCCCCCCTCCCCCACCCTCGGGCAAATTAGAAAAAAAAGTATAATTTATAGAGCAAATATATAGGCTACTTTTACCAGTCCCGTAATTTCAAAGTGCCCATCCCCCACACACGTAAATTTCTAGATCCCCACCCCTGGAGAGAAATGAAATTACTGTAGGTAGATCTTTTGTTGCTTTAGGTGATTAAACCCTTACCCCCGAAGAAAAATGATAACATTGTTAGTGGATCTAGGGTGTTGCTTTATGTTGGTTAATCACCCACCCCCGCCCTTACCTCGAAACAAAATTCAGAAAAAATGTTTTAGGTTCAATAAGTTTGAAGATTACAATTCACTTTATTGATTATTTCTTTCTGGACAGAACATTTTGGGCTAACCAACATCGCCTGGGTGTCTTTTACCATGTAGGCTTTAATGGAACAACGTTTACATGATGGTTACGACTCTGTTTGCGCTTCTATCGTAGTGTCAAATATCTGCGGCACCTGAGTTTAAAGCACATATATTTTCTCTAATCCGCGTGAGTTGTGGCACGTGCTTTTAGCACTCACGTGTAGTCACGTGCCGATACTCTTCCTTCCATCCTGGCTAGGGAACGTGTCAATGTTTGTTTCAAAAAATGTGTAAGGTCAGGGCTACTATCTGAATGGAAAAATTATTCAGCGTAGTCGATTTGACACTCATGGTATGGTCTATATACCGAAAAATAATATTTTTTTTCCATTAAATAACATAAAACGTTTCACTAGCCGTATTTTTAATTCGCGCATACTGGGAATATGCGAACTAAAAATTATTCACTTATTTTTTCGTTCATTGACAAAACTTTATAAATATTTTAACAATATTCCTCCCTATTTTCTATCATAGAACGGTTGCTATTAATTATTAATAATATGGCCCTTTAATCTACTATCCCCAACACATTCATTTTTTTTCTTTTAACACTTTATCACCCTCTCCGTAATTTTTTTGTTTCGTTTTTTTATCACTTTACTCCGACATTTTGTTAAAAATGTAATTGATTATTTGCGTAGGACAATATTAACAAATACCAAATAAAAAAATTAAATTAGAAATATATAAAAATTCTGTATTTATTAAATAAAAAGTAAGCCACTTTCATTATAAGACCATAACAATCTGAGGTTTTGATAGCTTTATTGTTGCTTTGTAGTACACGAACAATAGGTGCACGACTACAATACAAAAAAACGCGAGTTCAAAAAAAATATATCTAAAGAAAAAATTTTTTTCGAACAAATAATAAATTGGATTTTTTTAAAAATCGAAGTATTTTTCAATTGAAACATGAATCGATTAGTTTTTAACGGGTCTATTTTAACGTTTCCGCTTTCCTGATCATTTGCAAATGGGGAATTTTTTAACAGGTCAAAAGGAAAGCTAGGAAACATGAGCAAAACATAGGCGTGTCCCACTTCATCAAAAGGCTATACAATTCAGTTCACAATCAAGTTCAGGAAAGTTTTCATTTCAACCTTTGCGACAAAATCTCGATTGATTGCGGCACAAATCATGATTGATCAACAATGAGGGCGGTAATTCGATCTGTAATTTGGGAGGATGGTTGTGTTATTCTTTCACGCCTCTTAGCTGTTATTTGGTAATAGCATGGAATGGTCATTCGGTCAGAATATGAACATGCGACAACATAAGTGTTACCACACTTTAAACGTCAATATATAAATATATATATATATATATATATATATATATATATATATATATATATATATATATATATGTATATATATATATATATATATATATATATATATATATATATATATATATATATATATATATATATATATTCATATATATATACATAATACAGAAAGTATGGACCATCTATCCTTTGCTTCATCCAAATTAAAAACGTACCACCATTTCAAGTTTCACAAAAGTGTTCACCATTTCACATGCACCACAAAATGACTAATCCATACACCACCAACAAGTAATCATTTCACATTACCGCACCCAAGACTATTTCATGCAGTCACCAACAAATGAACATTTCACATGTTAATACCGTTTCTAGTGTCAACATTCAATGATCATTTCACATGTTACCAACAAATGACCATGTCACATGACATGTAAATGATACCTGTCACCGACACACACAGACTGTTACCGACACACACACCTGTCACCGACACACACAAAAACTGTCAACGACATACACTCACACACACCTGTCACCAACACACAAACTGTCATCGACACACACACACTGTCACCGACACACACAGACTGTTACCGACACACACACACACTGTCACCGACACACACAAACTGTCAACGACACACACACACTGTCACCAACACACACACACACACACTGTCACCGACACTGCCATCATTTCTTCTCATTTTCTCCGGCTTCCGGTTAATTCTACCGCAACGCTCGAATCACTTCCACGGCCTTCCCAGCCGGCTCACGGCTTATAATTACTGATCTAATCACTGCCATAAAACACGGGCCGGGCTCTCCTACCCCCACCCCACGGGTTCCAACTCAACCCTCCCCTACCTTCATTATTTATGAGCCTGATCCCAACTCCAATAGAAACGAAATCAATCTTTTGATAATTCAAAAAATTGTTTTCAACTAATCTGTTAAGTGACCGGAGGGAATACATTTATTTTAGTTAGGCTATTGATATACTCCATTTTTAGGTTACGCTATCGATCGAAACGAACCGTATCAATACACTACTTAGGTTGAATACATTGCATGTAACAGGGTTGATTCAAAACTTCCATACTACATTGAAGTTTAATAGCTCGCATGTTGAGTATGAAACTAAATTATAAAGAAAGAAAAAAAAATCGCCATTTTTTTTCTTTTTTTTTTAACTTCTCGTCTACTTTTTCTTCTTCCTATGACTTGATGACAGTAAGCTTACATTGAACGGTTGTCAGATGACATGAACACAGCAAGCCTGCTACAACTACTCGACAAAAAACTATCCTCCTGCATAATTGATTCCGCTGTGTTAATATTGGTTCAGGGGCGACAACTCCAGTTAGGTCATATTTACTCTTCATTACAGCCAAAGAGAGATAACGCGTGATGATATTTCCTATGAGTGTCGACTTTAATACATCTCTGTGAAACACAATAATGTGATTTATTTAGTTGTTCGCTAAGAGTACATTTGCAAATAATACACAAATGATTTTACAAAGTCACGTTTGAATAAACACTATGAAAAAGCTACCAATTTATTGTTTAAATTAGGAATAAAGTCTGTCTAAGTGTTAATGAGTAGGTTTTTTAGCGCAATTTCCATTCTGGAGAATTGCGTTTATTAACTCGTCATTTCTGGGAATGGATGGATGGATGAATGTGTGTCCGGGCTTTAAGTCGTATCTCCTCCTCAACGAAGCAATATCGATGACTAGTTCCAAAAGCAATTATGTTAAGCAAGTTACGAGAATGAGCATAGGCCATAAAAATTCCGGGTTTCTTTCATGTATTTCCCGTAAAAGCCAAAAAACCTCGAAAAAATGCAGTTTTTGGCCCATATCTCGGCAACCAGACCACTTAGCGACTTGAAACATGTACCAATCGATTCCTGCCATAATTTAGAACAGTATTGCCGAAGAAAGTTTTCAAAAATATCCTCTCGTTCGGTCACAAATTTTAAAATTACATAAACACCTACAAACCGATCGCTCTTCAAGCTTGAACGCACCCAATCATTATACGTCAGAGCTATTTTTAGATAACATAAGGAAATTGCGCATAAATGTCACTAGACTTTTTTAATTAACTTGTTTGTTAAGCGTGTAATGTAACTATGTTCAATGATAATAATTTATTTCCTCCTTTTTAGTGCCAAAATATTTAAAAGCTTGTTATTAAAGCATTTTTTCATTTTAAAAAAAAAATTAAAAGTGTTTACACACATATACATTCCACGAATTATGTTGTAAAAATATGCCGCTGTAAAATTTAATTTAACACAGATAATTTAATTAGGCCACAGATACCTTCAACCTTGCTCCCGAGCGCCTATATTGCCACCCGTACCCCGTCCCCTCTAACCTTGTCATAAAATATGTTCCTTTTAGCCAGAACAGACCGTTTTAAAATTCGAATCATCTTCCCATCTAAGCTAGCATGTCACCTTTTTACCCGCTGCGAACATTAAAAAGAACTCGGGGTCGATTCTTCGTGGTAATAGCACACATTTTTAATTTGTTTATTACCTCTCAAAGCTATGGCGTCCTAAAAAATAAATTGAAAAGGAGTCTTTTAAAATAATTTCTGAATAAAATTGCAAATTTTCAGTGTCAAACTTTGAACCTTTAAAAAAAAAATACCCCCCGAAGGTTCGAATCTGAGCGTATGTTATTGTGCAGAAATGATTTTTCGGTCTTGTTTTGTTAACATATTGATTAAACAAATACAAAAATATCGATTTTTATCCAGAGATCAGACTGTCGTATTGATATGCCAATGTTCCTGTCACCAAAATCGATCTAACAAACTGAAAGAAATAACAACTGATCTGTATTTCTGATTGGCCTCACTTAGAAATCGATATTTGTATTGTCATAGAATCAGAATCCAGTTTGTTCTGAATTAATTTCTTGATATTTTTGTTCCTCCTTTAGTTGGTGGATGAAGAGCGCCTGACTGCCTCCATTTTGCCAGAGGAAGAGGCACCTAAGGCCGTGGAGAAGAGGGAGAGATACATGGGGATATGCATGCGGAGACAGAACTACAACTTTATCCCAGTCCCCTGCATGCGGAGTGGTAGGTACAGATCTTTTACTTACTGCGCATGTCTACCGGAAGTCTCTTTTAATTGAATTCGTGTTTACGTCTTTCATGTGGAATCTTGCAATTAATTTTTCGATAACTTTTAATGCACCTTCTTTTCCAACTTTGCATGCTTCACAGAAGACAAAATCTTAACTTGCAAGATAACTTGGGTTTTATTTATTTTATTTTTATCACGTTTTATGAATAAGGCCTATTTCTGAAAAATGAAAACCTTATTCAATGTTATTATTTTTAAAACCATTTCTCCTAAGAATCAAAGTGTAATTATTTTTAAATGAACGCGTGCAAATACGCTAAATGTTAACTACTTTCAGAAGCAAAATGTTCAGCGGCTTTTATATTCTTTTTTGTCATAAAACGCGACAGAACCATTTGATAAAGGTCATGAAGAAATTTGTGTTGAGTTGGCTGAATCACGTCTGTGAATGTTTTCCATTATCACGAGCAAGTGCGCATGCTCACCAGAAATTTATAAATAAACATAGCCTCCTGTGTAGGGGCAGGCATGGAGAAAATCGCGTCAAATTTAAGCCAGGTTAACTACATACAACACACTACTATAACACACATATAAATGAGTCGTATTAAATTGTGAACTGTATCAAAGAGCTAGTTTCATTCTTTTCTTTGGAGCTTAATTTTACACAGGCGTTAGACCTCTTTCAACAAAGCTTACAGGCATTAGACCTCTTACAAAGCATAATGTAACACTGGCATTAGATCTCTTTTAACAAACTAGACCTAAACCACTTTTATTTATTCGATCTTTTGACGTTTTTTTTTTAAAGTCCAAACTTAACTACAGACTCACCACCAACCCAGATGTCAACTACCCCCCCCCCTCAATGATCTCACCCAACCCACCCCATACCGTGAAGTGGTTAGCCCCTTCCATCGACCACATTCAATTCTACACGTTTTGTTTGAACCCAACGCCATCCTTAAATTGAAAAAAAAATCGATTTCCAAATTTGATTTTGATTTCATTATAAATCACATTGTCCCAACATTAGATATTCTGCATTATCAAGTCTATGGCCAACATTATTGGTTCAAAACGTTCACAGTTCAAGGTGTTGTATTTTTTCCTCGTTAGCAAAATACAATTTTATTTGCACCTTTGTTATTTAAAAATATCTGATCGATAAAGTATTTCTGAATGTTTAGTGTGTAAACTAATTTTTTTTAAAATAACAGTAAAATTTTACTGTATTTTCTTACTATTTAGTCACTATAAACTAGGCTTGACCATCGGTCAGCGTCTGCGACTTGACGTCACCGATCTTATATATTGTGCAATCATCGACTCAGTCAGCTCACAAGTACAAAGCTTGCTTGACGCCGTGGAGAATAAATGTCGATTTATTTGTGTGAGCTGAAATATTTAGTCGGCCCGACGTTTCTTGTCTGTGGTGATGGGTAGTTTGGTAGTGCTGACGGCACTTAACTGTCTGTGATGATGGGTAGTTTGGTAGTGCTGACTGGGTAGTTTGGTAGTGCTGACGGCACTTAACTGTCTGTGATGATGGGTAGTTTGGTAGTGCTGACTGGGTAGTTTGGTAGTGCTGACAGAACCTAACTGTCTGTGGTGATGGGTAGTTTGGTAGTGCTGACTGGGTAGTTTGGTAGTGCTGGCGGCACTTAACTGTCTGTGGTGATGGGTAGTTTGGTAGTGCTGACGTCACTTAACTGTCTGTGATGATAGGTAGTTTGGTAGTGCTGGCGGCACTTAACTGTCTGTGGTGATGGGTAGTTTGGTAGTGCTGAAGGCACTTAACTGTCTGTGATGATAGGTAGTTTGGTAGTGCTGACAGAACCTAACTGTCTGTGGTGATGGGTAGTTTGGTAGTGCTGAAGGCACTTAACTGTCTGTGATGATAGGTAGTTTGGTAGTGCTGACTGGGTAGTTTGGTAGTGCTGACGGCACTTAACTGTCTGTGGTGATGGGTAGTTTGGTAGTGCTGACTGGGTAGTTTGGTAGTGCTGACTGGGTAGTTTGGTAGTGCTGACTGGGTAGTTTGGTAGTGCTGACGGCACTTAACTGACACTTGGTGTGTAGAATATTGTACCGGTACCAGACGGTGTGTGCGCGTGTGATTGAATGTGTGTGCGTGTGTGTGGATGTTTTAGAAAGAAAGACATAATGTGTGTGTGTGAGTGGTGTGTGGGGGGGGGGGGGTACGTGCGTATGTGCATTTAGTTTGTATATTTGAACAGAAAAAGTACCTCCGACCGTGGAGAATATTCTGTTTTGTACAGCCAGATTGTTTCCCTTTTAAACAAATTCATAAAATAAAGGGAGATAACTTACATAAATGTTCTCAAAAGTGTTTAACATACAAAGAAATTTTAGAGGTACTGAAACAAAAATAGAAATTATACGTATTGTTAAATAATTTATTTTAGTTGAACATTAAATATTCAATATGAACTATTCTTTAAATAATCAATTTCATAAAAATAAAAAATTATTATTGGACCCTAGTGTACTTACTCATCCATTCACTCTATTAATAAAGTAATTAACAATTTTTATGTAGTCAACCCGAACTGCATTAGACTTTGGTCTTTGTTCCTTAAACTTTATTCCGTGTAAACTTCAAAATGGTGAACGTTCCAAAACAAAGACGCACCTTCTGCAAGGGCAAGAAATGCAAAAAGCACACAATACATAGTTACTCAGTACAAAGCAGGAAAGGCTTCCTTGTATGCCCAAGGTAAAATACGTTATGACAGAAAGCAGAGCGGTTACGGTGGTCAGTCCAAGCCAGTTTTTAGAAAGAAGGCTAAAACCACCAAAAAAATTGTCCTTCGTATGGAGTGCACTGAATGTAAATATAGGAAACAATTACCAATCAAGCGCTGCAAACACTTTGAGTTAGGAGGAGACAAGAAAGGGACAGATGGTTATGTTTTAAGATAAATAACATCTGGACAATTGAAAAAAACAAAAACAAAAAAAAAAGTTCCTTAAACTTTATCGTTCAGTCAGCAACTACTCTGATGGTGAAAAAATCCATTGAATTACCATTTAATTACACATTTGCATTTTTAGGTTTTTAAGATTAAAAAAAATGTATTTAGACGTTTTGTATTAGATCTAAGTATTAGTAAACTATCTTAAATGAATGAAAGTAGGCTACATATAAGAAAGAAGTGTTACTATTGTAAATCAGTATCAGTCTTCACAAGTATGCAAGGCAAACTGACGCTGTAAATTACATGTCTGAGGCGAAAAAAGGGTAGAAAAAATCGTTCAGTTAGCAAAAACTTAAGTATAATCAAAATGTGCAAGATGTAATCGGTCTTCATTAAGAGAGACTAAAGTGAGACAGTAACTTAATAAGGGGGCGTCTACATTTATTAAACATCAACGGCATGTATCACTATCTGAACTAGACTATGTACAATAGACACAAATTAATAGCTGCATGGAACACTATCTGAACTAAACTATGTACAATAGACACAAATCAATGGCTGCATGGAACACTATCTGAACTAGACTATGTACAGTAGACACAAATCAATGGCTGCATGGAACACTATCTGAACTAGACTATGTACAGTAGACACAAATCAATGGCAGAATTGATCACTATCTGAACTAGACTATGTACAATAGACACAAATTAATAGCTGCATGGAACACTATCTGAACTAGACTATGTACAATAGACACAAATCAATGGCTGCATGGAACACTATCTGAACTAGACTATGTACAGTAGACACAAATCAATGGCTGCATGGAACACTATCTGAACTAGACTATGTACAGTAGACACAAATCAATGGCAGAATTGATCACTATCTGAACTAGACTATGTACAATAGACACAAATCAATGGCTGCATGGAACACTATCTGAACTAGACTATGTGATAGTAGACACAAATCAATGGCTGCATGGAATACGCTCTGAACTAGACTATGTTATAGTAGACTCAAATCAATGGCTGCATGGAACACTATCTGAACTAGACTATGTACAGTAGACTCAAATCAATGGCTGTATGGAACACTATCTGAACAAGACTATGTACAGTAGACACAAATCAATAGCCTCATGGAACACTATCTGAACTAGACTATGTTATAGTAGACACAAATCAATAGCTAAATGGAACACTATCTGAACTAGACTATGTAACTAGACGTATCGAACATGACAAAAGTACAGAAAACAAATCTAAAACCCTTTCAATTTATTTGTGCTTAACTTTTATTTATGTTTAGCTTTGATTTGAGTTAAACTTGTATTTGAGTTTAACTAAGATAACAGATGATTAGACAGCCCGAACAAAAAAAACCTCTGACGTTGACGCCTGCGTAGTTTGGTTTACTTTGATCTTCAGGACGCCATTACCATTCGAATCAAAGTTTTCGTCCGTGGCTTTTATTTACCCAATTTTGCATTATCCTCCCAGCCATTGTTTACAAATTTACACAAGAGCTCTTGTATTTATAGACTTAACAATTTTTTTCCTCGTCTGGTTTTTTAAACTAGTATTAAAAATTTCAGGTTTCAGAAAAGTTTTTTTTAATCTAAAATCCTTGTTAAGTATCTATTAAAAACGACGACTGAATTTGAAGCAATTTTGTTAAAAAAATTTAAAATTAAACTGGAATTAAATTTACCATCAACCAACAAATTTAATTCATTTTATTCCTAAGCTATTGTTCTAGTGTCTTTGTAATCGTGAATCTCAGCGGCTAAGCTTTGATTAGAGTGAAGTTTTCGTGTAGGTTCGGGTTTTAGCACAACGGAAATTTTACTCTACTTGCTTGTTTTGGCTCAAGTTTACAGTAGATTACGATGCTCTAGTAGTATATTTCTCTAGTTAAGCTACATTTTGGCAAGTTTTGAAATGAGACGGCACAAAAATGTTTTTTTAAATTGTTATATTTTTTAACACAATTAGTTTAAACAGATGTGGTTGACCACAGTTAATCTACAGCGGGGGTTTGACAAATAGTTGATGTGTTCACGTGTGTTTATTCATATCTGGTGTATTAAAAAATATTATTATTGATATACTGTTATTAGGCTTTAAAATGATAGTACAATCAATAAAATTGAGTTTCCTTTGAGTTGCCAATCATTTATTATTATGATAATTAACCTTGTCTTTATATTTTCATCATTGCGTGTGTATGTTATCTTCAATCCCTAATCGAATGGTTGAACTTTAACTAGGTTCTCTATTTAATGGTATGGTTACTGCGTATGATGTGTATGATTATCAGTGTTTCTTCCAGACTTTTTTCTCCGGGGGTGCACTTGAAATTTTCGGGGGGGGGGGGGGGGGCGGACAACAATTTCCGGGGCGGGCGGACACTGTCAAAAGTATATATTTTCTATATAAATTCCATTTCGTTCGGGGGGCGGTAGACTTTCTTCGGTGCCCCCCCCCCCCCCCCCCCCGAAGAGATGCCTGGAAGAAACTCTGATGATTATCATCGAAACTTTATAAGTATAATATGGTACGGTAAAAAGACGACTGCAAACGAACCATACATTTATTCCTCTGGCCGATGTGCACTAGTCTCCTAGATTAAAATTAGCCGGGTAACAATTATCCATTACCTTTTTTTTTAAACAATGACCATGAAGACGCGCCAAAACGCTGGTGGCCCTGGTGCTAGTCACCATGGCAACATATCAACACAAGTGATTGACCTTAAAGAGGGAATATTACCATGGATTGTTCATGTTTTAGCATAGCGGCCGTCCACATCTTTTGTCCGTCCACGGAATCTCCCCGAGGGCCGTCCATCGATCACTCTCGGACCTGATGACATTAGTGTATGGAGGTTGTCGCGGCATTAATAGGGTGGATTACATCCGTGTTTGAAGAAGAACTATCTAAGCCATACACCGTGGGGGATGGTGTTTGGGGGTAAGAAATCACCAGGGCGGTGATTCTTCTGGGCGACAAACTAGATTAGCAGATTGATGGATGGACATTATCAAAATTGCACCAGGCTTTTAATTCAGGACGAGTGCAGGGGAAGTAGCGTATCTGTTTTTGACACCTTTTTTATAGATGACATTTTGTATGACATACAATCACAGGCGTGTGTTATATTTTACGAGATTATATTAAAGCCTGTACCAACGTATGTAGGAAAATAAGACACGTATGTTCTTGTAGAATGAGTACATCTATGATAAGCTTATATGTATGTATTTATGTATGCATATATTGTATGTATGCATGTATGTTTATATGATCAGCGTGTAAGTATGTATGTATATAGGAAAGCTTAATGTAAATCTAATTTTCCGCGAGTTTCCTTTATTCACTGAAGGATTACAGCATCTGATAGCTTTTATTGCCTATGCTGATGTAAGGTGTATTAAATGTCCCACATCGCTAAGCAATAGGAATATCTAACACCCACACATCGACCACAATTAGACCCGTTACTAGCAACATATACGTTCACAACTGTAAAAGCCAACTTTGAAAACTTCTATAATCGACTGAGAGCGTTTTGTAAAAACAAAATACCAAAATATTCTAAATGGTTCTTTTTTTTTTACAGTACATAATTCGCGATGAAGATCGGGTTAATAAACCTGCATTAATTTTAAGTGAAACTAATTACTAAAAATTGCACAATATCAATCAAAGATTCTATAAATTTTGTTATTAATTTTCATTGCAATTTTCATATTATTATTTTTATTGCAATTTTCCTGTTGACAATTATACATAGCTTGTTAAAAAATACCAGAATTTTTTATATTTTTTATTTCCATTTTCTTGTGGTCATGTATTGCCATTTTCCTGTTGTTATTTTTATTGTTTTTCATGTACCAGACATCTAATTATTGTTTTGCGCCATTGTTATTTGTATTGTTTTTTATGTACCAGAAATCTAATTATTGTATTGTGCCATTGTTATTTGTATTGTTTTTTATGTACCAGAAATCTAATTATTGTATTGTTCCATTGTTATTTGTATTGTTTTTTTATGTACCAGAAATCTAATTATTGTATTGTGCCATTGTTATTTGTGTTGTTTTTATGTACCAGAAATCTAATTATTGTATTGTTCCATTGTTATTTGTTTTGTTTTTCATGTACCAGAAATCTAATTATTGTTTTGTGCCATTGTTATTTGTATTGTTTTTCATGTACCAGAAATCTAATTATTGTATTGTTCCATTGTTATTTGTTTTGTTTTTCATGTACCAGAAATCTAATTATTGTTTTGTGCCATTGTTATTTGTATTGGTTTTCATGTACCAGAAATCTAATTATTGTATTGTTCCATTGTTATTTGTACTGTTTTTCATGTACCAGAAATCTAATTATTGTATTGTTCCATTGTTATTTGTATTGTTTTTCATGTACCAGAAATCTAATTATTGTATTGTGCCATTGTTATTTGTATTGTTTTTCATTTACCAGAAATCTAATTATTGTATTGTGCCATCATCTTGTTATTTGTATTGTTTTTCATGTACCAGAAATCTAATTATTGTATTGTTCCATTGTTATTTGTATTGTTTTTCATGTACCAGAAATCTAATTATTGTTTTGTGCCATTGTTATTTGTATTGGTTTTCATGTACCAGAAATCTAATTATTGTATTTTTCCATTGTTATTTGTATTGTTTTTCATGTACCAGAAATCTAATTATTGTATTGTGCCATTGTTATTTTTATTGTTTTTCATGTACCAGAAATCTAATTATTGTATTGTTCCATTGTTATTTGTATTGTTTTTATGTACCAGAAATCTAATTATTGTATTGTGCCATTGTTATTTGTATTGTTTTTCATGTACCAGAAATCTAATTATTGTATTGTGCCATTGTTATTTGTATTGTTTTTTATGTACCAGAAATCTAATTATTGTATTGTGCCATTGTTATTTGTATTGTTTTTTATGTACCAGAAATCTAATTATTGTATTGTGCCATTGTTATTTGTATTGTTTTTCATGTACCAGAAATCTAATTATTGTATTGTGCCATTGTTATTTGTATTGGTTTTCATGTACCAGAAATCTAATTATTGTATTGTTCCATTGTTATTTGTATTGCCAACTTTGATTTTCTCGCTCTTGCAGGTCGCTAAAGAAGTCCTTGTCAAGACGTAGCAGGGGCTGACACGTCATCCCTTAGATCGTCTGCAAAGACTCAGGAAAACAGAAAACCTGCAACTTATTCCAAACTTTCCAAATAAATCTGCTCAAAAATTTTAACGTTCGAATTCGGAAAAAAAAAATTCTGAAAATTCATTTTTTTTGTGGACGTCACTGAAAGCTTTTGTTTACACTATTTCATTCCTCATCTGTATGTTTGCTTATATGCTGGTTTAATCGTTTCTTTTCAGAGAAGAAAAAAAACAACGTTTAAAAACTTCAGGCTAAATACCGAAATATATGCTGTACATTTGGAAACAGCGCGGAAAAAAAGCATAGATTTTATTGTAAAATGTTTTGGGTTTGAATATTATTTTTTTAATTGCTAAAACATTTCTTTGGCTAAAAAAAATAAATAAAACAGCCCCAACTGTGAAAAGCATTTTCGTTGAAGCAGAGTGGTTTTGTCTGAATTCTGTTTTGCTTAAAGATTATTTGAATATTCAAATAAAATAAAAAAATAAATTCTTGATATGGACTTTGTTTATTCAAGCATGCCTTAGCTCTGTCTTCTCTTAGCTATGTATGTTTATTGCCATAGCTCTGTCTTGTCTTAGCTATGTATGTTTATTGCCATAGCTCTGTCTTGTCTTAGCTCTGTATGTTTATTGCCTTAGCTCTGTCTTGTCTTAGTTCTATATGTTTATTGCCTTAGCTCTGTCTTGCCTTAGGTCTGTCTTAGCTCTGTATGTTTATAACCTTAGCTCTGTCTTGTCTTCGCTCTGTATGTTTATTGCCTTAGCTCTTGCTTGTCTTAGCCCGGTATGTTTATTGCCTTAGCTCTGTCTTGTCTTAGTTCTATATGTTTATTGCCTGAGCTCTGTCTTGTCTTAGCTCTGTCTTGCCTTAGCTCTGATTCTGTCAGGGCTGAACCTTACCAAGACGCCGAGTGCAAATAGTTCAACAGCTTCAAGTTAAAATTAGTGAAGGAGGAGCAGGGGTGAGGCAAGTGCTCACCCCAGGTCATAACTTAATGACGTCACAATCATCCTGCATATGACGTCGTTTATTCTGTGATAGCATGTCATTATTGTTCTAGTCGCACCTTACATTCCAATGCTTTGAAAACAAAAAGAGCTCTTCTCTGTCCTATGGGAATCAGATCGCTTTATTTATTTACGTTATTGCTGAGATGCTTCTAATGTTAAAAAAAATTTATACAAAAATTTACTTTTTAAAAAGCAATACTTTTTAGAAAGAAAAAAAAATACATGATCATTGAGTCCATACATTACGTAGATTATCAAACCCTATATAAAATTCCATTCTAAATCAAATTTAATTGTGAATATCAAACGACAACTTTTCCTATATGAGCTGAATAATTCACACGCTCTAAATCTTTGTTTTGTCTGGAGAAGCCGTGTCACGTGATTTGATCACGTGATACAATCCTTTCACGTGACTTTATAGCAGCAGCCATTTTCCCTGGAGCGTTGTTCCCGCTTAAGAATAGACCGATGCTTGACTTTATTAGTCGAGACAGTCAATATGGCCGCCTACGATACTAATAAAAGAAAGAACTTCTGCCAGACCGCATTTATTCGACTCAGCCACTGGAGAGTTCCAAAAGAAAATATTATATTGTGAAGGCGGTCGAAAGACATCAGTTATTAAAATTTTAATTTTCTTTTTTTTTCCACTTCTGTTTTGAAAGTTTTGAAAATAACATAAGTAAAGTGTCCGACTTTTTGCGATTTAGTTTTAGGGAGAAAACACCTCTTAATTAAGGTTGAGTTAGTATAAAGGGTCTTAAGACATTGGTTAAGGCAGGGGTCGTTGGGGAGGCGAAGCGACCCATTCCGACGCCCGGGGCGAACTATCAATTTGTATTATATTTATTCATGGTAGTAAAAAAAAAGCCCCACCGGTTTGAAAAATTGGTGGCGCTTTTTACAGGTCACTAATGTTTGCTATAGTGCCAGATTTTGACTGAGTATAATTCGATTAAAAAATGAGCTTTTACATTTTTTTCTACCCCTTTTGGCGCCCCCTTCGGGTCGGCACCCGGGGCTACCGCCCAACCCGAACTCTCCTTGCCACTCCACTGGGGCGTTCTTAAAGACATCAAACTGCTAGGGAATTCCGGGAGTTCGGACTTCAGTGAGGAGGGGGTGGGGGGGGGGGGTGACGACACAGTTTTGTGCGTAAAAAGCAAAGTGAGAATCTGATTTGAGCTGATATTTTGTCTTTTAAAAGACTTTTTAAATAAAAATTAATTAAAACTTGATCAATATAGTCGGTGTTGATCGAGCTGAATAAACAATTTTTAAAAAAAAAACGCAGGTTTGAAATTAAAAAATAGCTGATTTGAGTGAGGAGTAGGATGAAATGGGACGTCATCTTAGGGGTGGGGACTAGCTTTTTGTGACAATGTGTGAAGATGGGGAATTAAATCTCCCCCCCCCCCCTTATCTAGTATATCCCCAAACACGACACAACTGAACGTAAAGCCTGGCATAACACGCTTCATCACATTATAGAACAGATTTACACTTTTTTTAAATGTGAATAAAAAATGTAGACCATAAGCCATAAGTCCAAATTGTGCCATACTTATCCTACAACTTGAAAGTAATAAACCACCTAAAGAGAGGCTATATGGAGTGTGATTATATAGAAATAAGGAAGTTATTTCAGGGCGTTAGATTCTGAAAATGTACACTATGTTATACGGGATAACTATTTAGTTTACCTTCACAGGCATTATTCAGGTTAACGCTTCCGTCTGGTTGTTCCAGTATAAAATTCATAGATACTAAAAATGGGAAAATAAAATATGTGTAACAGATTTTGAATAAATAAAAAAATAAGAAGAAAAATAATTTCTTTAGATAGACTTTAGATAGTTAAAGCCTTAAGGATTATAACTCATTACCTACACTTTCATTATAAGATGTACATCTAACGATTAAAAAAGATTGAGTTGTTTTCTTATTTTAGCGCTTTTTAAAGGTGTTCTTGCAACGTTGTGTATAGACCTACACGTTTTATTACGTAGTTAGTTCCCCTATTGATGACGAGAACTAGCCACATCTTCTACTGAAGACAATCCCGAGGGTCATGTTGGTGAGTGACACTTCCAGAACTGGGACAGCTCGAAAATAAGAAAGTTCCAGACATATGAAAGACGCAGTTAAAAGATGATGCTATACATAAAAAAAAATGAGTACACTTGCCCTTGGTAGATAATTGTTTTCATAGTTCAACTATGCCAGACTATCTCAAAGCCTAAATGTATTGTGATGGTTTCTGTGGAGATGTACATTGGGCTATCGAGCGAAAACCTCTGTATTAAAATATATATGGTCTAATAAAAATAATACATTCAGTTATATAAAGTATATCTAAGCTCGTAAGGTTTTCAATACAAAATAAAGCTAACACAATATCCAATTCAAAGTTAGATCAACAACTATTTCATCATCACAATTGTTTAAATATAGGCTGAACATGTTGGTGTTGAAATCTTGGAAATTTTGAACAAGGCAAACAAATTGTAATCATTTTCATGCAATTTCTTCTGGGTTACATCAACGTAAAAACGTATATATTTATTTGCTAACAAAGGGCAGACATAAAAAGCCGACTGAAGATAAGGTCGACTGGAGATAAGGCCGACATGGACATAAGGCAATGGGTGGAAACAAGAGCCTGACTTAAACCGAAGAGTCTACTGGCTGATGATACAGGTGAAAAAATGTTCGATTCTTAAATCATGTGAGTCAGCCTGGAACAAAAGTGTGAGCCGGTAATGATTGTATACGAGAGAGTAAAAAAAAGCAAAGAATAACAAGTTCCGCCATTGGTTGGAAAGGAGCCAAATATATCAATATAAGACAAAGCACATATGCATTAATCCTGAATTATTGAATTTGCTAAACAAACAATACTACAATTTCTAGCAGGAATGCCATAACCTTTTTATGGGACCATGCACATACATTATTACATAAACAATTGACACAGATTTTATGTAAAATTTTAAAATACCACTACCTTTCATATCAACTACATAATAATATGCAGAAATTATGGGACCACCACCCCTTCACTAACTGCTAATTTCAGAACCCATGTAGTAATTTTTTTTTCAAATTCACCGATGTCTAATCACTTTTTAAAAATAAATAGCTTTCTTGCATCTTCATAAAGAATTAGCAAAACGTTATACTGTATTAAAAGAAACATTTTAATCTGTACTAATTTTATGAGGTAGACATTTCAAAATAAACAAGGATTATAACGATGTATAGCGTTGCTCTATATCACCTTTATTAAAACAACAACGTTCAATAATGTATGCTACCGCTGATTGTAGCATATTTGCAACATTTAAGCTATCACTGCTAAACTGTTACTTCGATTTCCTGGTAAATTAAGTTACTCGCCGTAATAAATTTCAAATCCACTACGCTAAATGTGTTATCAACCAACTAACGACACTTCCTAACGCATCACAAATGACGCCCTAAAATTGCAAATTTTTGGCCCGGCCCTCGGCTGGGCGTGGGCTAAATCTAATAGCCCCCAAGTGGGCTAAATGTATTAGCCCAGGGCCCAGTCAATTATCTACAGGCTACCATCAATTATGGATGTTGTAGCAGACGTCAGGAGACTCCCTGATTGTGCAATTTTTGACGAGAAGTGGACCGGACATCAGAGGATCGGACCTTGTCGGTCGCTCTTAATTTGATCATCGTCGGGCTGCTATAAATAGATTATGTCGTCAGAAGACCAGACACATTTACCTACACTACGACTCATAGAATAATTAACATAATCCTAGCATTATACATACAACAAGTATAAACACATAGTAACCGGGGTATACATGTTTGTGGTATATTCAATTCAATATATTCAATAACGGTAACAATGGTAGGCACGGATGCCTTTTTTCACATTGGCCGTTTTAAAATAAACAAATAAAACAACAACGTAATAACAGCATTTAAAAAAGCAATTGCTTAGTAAAGACATAGCAGTAACAACTAACATAGCACTAAAAATGTGGAATAAAGAAATAATATTACATAGTTATAATACAAATACCAGGCCATGTTGAACAAGCATTCATGAATGACGTCTGATACCAATTTCTGGTGTACAAAATAGTGGTAAAACGATACTGATTTCATAAATCATTGTAAAGAAAATAACAATTTCTTAATGAATATTTTATTTTGAGGACGTCGCTATTTTAACTTCAACATTTTATTAAGTCAACAATGGTCACCCCAGAGATTCAATATTGTGATCAAGGATGCTCCCAGGGCGACCCAGGCAACAAAGAATGTGATCATCCATCGCCCCAGACATCCAAGAATGTGATCACCCAGCGGCCCAAACAACCAAGAATGTGATCACCCACCGCCTTAGACAACAAAGAATGTGATCATCTAACGTCCCAGACAACCAAGAATGTGATCAGCGCCCCAGACAACCAAGAATGTGATCAGCGCCCCAA